TTTTCCATCAAATACCAACAAATGCCGCTCTTTCTCTCCCATCCTACGACAAATTATTGTGCCTGGATTCGTCCGGACACAAATCCGGTGTTGCCACATCACCAAAATATACCGGGACCCAGTGTATTTGGGTGACGTGGCGTCACCGAATTGGATGTCCGGACATCCGGTGACCGAACGCAATAATTCGCCCCATTCTACACCTATTTTTATCTCCACCTTTATACATATATAAAAATTATTTGAAAACGCAATTTTTCTTTGAAAACATAACTTTTTTTACATTTTAAAAAAATAGCACCATTTTTTCTTGAGTTTTCTTGGAGAATATGATTCTTTTTCTTTTACAGATTTTTGAAAACTTAAATTATAATCATATTTTTTTAATTTTTTCATTAGGTTCTTTTGCTAAGTTAACTTTAAGGGGCTGTTTGACAATAAGTAGGATTTAACTTTATTTAGATTGAGTAAATTCTGTAAATTAGGATTTAATAAATCCTAAAAGTGTTAAATTCTAAAAATAATTTGGAATGATACATTTTAAATTCTGATAAATTATGAGAAACTGTTTGGTAACATAATTGAGAATTTAAGACAGCTGGTTCATTTATAAATCAAATATAATTTATTTTGAATTTAATTTGGGGGTTAAAAATGAATTATTTATTAACTTTAATTTTAATTATCTTTAATAAGTTATAAGGATAAATAATATAACTAACACTAATTTATATTACAAGTTATCAAATTAGTTATTTAGGTGTTGATTATAAAATTAGTTATTGTATTACTCATTATCTAATTATATTTTTAATCCTAATTAAATTGTCAATTATTGTTCAAATTAAAAATTATTTAACTAATACTCATATTAATGATTTAATTAATAATTTAAGTATTATTTAATTATTTTTAATTATTAATTATCTCATTGATCACTTAAATATTCAACTATTAATTAATTATGTAATTATTATTTACAATATTAAGTATGTAATTAACTATTTTTTTAAATTATTTAAATTGAACTAATTTAATGACCATTATACTACTAATCAGTTAGTTAAGCCAAATTAGATTACTCAATTAAACTACTAATTATTTAATTAATATACGTAAATATTAATATTTAAATGACCATTTATACTACTAGTTAATTATTTACTTATTTTAAATTACATAAATTAAACTAATTAGTTTATTTTTATTTAATAATAATGTTAACTTTGATTAATTTTTAATTAAATGCCTTGGGTTTGCTTTTCATCTTCTTTCCGTGGTGCTTTGTTACCATCGCTTCCTCATCGTCATTTCTTAGTGGCTACTTCGGCTTCGCGTGTTGTCTGTGCTTTGCATGACGAGAGCTCGCTCGTTGCTTAGCCTCCTTTGAAGGTCTCGAATCGAAAGTCACGACAGGAGCTCGCTCGCTGCTAGGTAATCTTCGCCTCCTCCTTCATGACTAGAGCTAACTCGCACGCAAGCTTTAAATCCCGTTGTTGATAAATTCTTAAATTCGTCGAACCAAGGGATTTAGTAAGGTTTGGTTGGGATGACTTTATTTTTGTTTCTTAAACTAGAATTTTAATACAAAATTAAATTATAAATTTCAATTTTTGTGTTAGAATGATGCTTTTTTTAAAGCCTTAAAAAAACAGTCCCAAGAAGCCTAAAATCTCAGATTTAGGCACTGCGATATTTATGGAGGACTGGGATTTGAAGAGCTGGAAAACCGTTGACAGGAGTTGCCGTAAATTTGGCTTAAATTCGAGCCCATAAATCCCCTAAAGGGCGACCCTGTCAAAATTTGCTCTTTTTTCGCTGACCTGTGTGTACTCCATGATCTGCTCTTGTAGATCACCATCGTCCCTCTTGCGCTCTCTCAATCGAGTGGAAAGCTGAAATGAAGGAGGCTAGCAATATTCATCGTCAAATCTCTGCTTTCTTTCTACCGTTTCTGCTTCTGTTGAGCGCATCGTCAACTTCCTCTGCCGCGAAGGTCAATCTGACTATTCTTTGTTTCATCCTCATTCAATTTAAACTATCCCTGTCTCTCCCTCCCTCTCTCTTTCCTGGTTCTTTGCAACCCAAAGGGATAGCTAAGCCTAAAATAACTTTCAAATTTAAGTACTTGTATTATAACATATATTATATTTCAAAATTTGAAGTATAAATAAATATAATTTGCAAAAAAATATTGATAGAAATTTTAAGAAAAAGGTAAGCTTTAAAATTTTATTTAGTTTATAGCCCTCTCTTATGATTAACGAGTTTTTACAAACTTAACGAGTCATCATAAATGATTGGTGCTACTTTGTAAAGTGACAGAGACTTTAATGCAGCTCACCTTGGTCTATTGGTCAAGAGCTTTGACTACCAACTAAGAAACATTTGGGTTGAGTCTTATATATGTGATGTGTGTGAATTTGTCTTGATTGACCAAAATGAGAATTTAACCTCTGAGCCTTATTTATATATATAAATTTGTAATTAAATGAAATCAATCCAATTGAGAGCTTTTTTTTTGCCATAAATAGATTTAGGCTTTATTTGTGACAGCTTTTTTATTGCTTTCTAAAACAGCTTTTAAATACAAAAATTTCTAATTCAAGAAATTTGTGTGGTAGAAAGCTGCTTTAGAAAGCAACAAAAAAGTTGTCCCAAACGAAACCTCATTCTGCTAAGATATTTCATGTTAATTCATTTTATTTTAAAATATTAACATGTTTTATACAATGGCTCAAAATAAGCATAAATCTTATATATTTATGCTATAAAAAAAACCATAAGCATTGAATTCCTTTTTTTTTTGGGAAAGAATTCCTAATTCTAGTGACAAGAAAATATCCTAGCTAGTATTACAACTTACAAGTTTGTTCAGTCGCCAAAAAAAAAAAAATTGTGACACAAAAGCTTACTAGTAATTGTAAATCAACTTCGATTTCTAGATTTATAATCTCATTTTTTCGTGCAACTAAGGCTTCGTTTGGGACGGCTTTTTCCTGCTTCTTAAAGCCTTTTTTTTTGTACAAAATTTTTTAATTTTTGTACTAGAAAGCGGCTTTAAAAAGTAGTAAGAAAGCCGTCCCAAACGAAGCCTAAGATTCATACGTAAGATTGTCTTATACTTTTGTTTCCTTACTTTGTTATTATATTTTGCAAAGTAATTTTTAATGAACGGACTTTTGTGAGATACACTTGCCTATAACTAAGGTCTCGTATGGGATAACTTTTGACAACAGCTTTTTTACTTCTTTCAATAAATTCTTGTGCTAGAAACTAGTAAGAAAATTTTCTCAAAAAATGCCTAAGGCCTCATTTGGGACAGCATTCTTATTACTTTTTAAAGTAGTTTTTTTAAAATTAAAATTTTAATTTTTTTACTAGAAAATTGTTTTAAGAAACAATAAGAAAGTAATCCCAAAAAAGCCTCAGTTGAAAGGAACTATTCCCTTTGAAGAAAGTGATGGTTGATGCATCTCCACCTAAGTGAAGAAAAATAGAGTGAGAATTCTAGCCAACTTATTAGACCTAGGCGTGCTTATAGCCTTATAGGCTTGTTAAGCAAAAAGTAAGGTTTCGTTTGGGACGACTTTCTTACTGCTTCGTAAAGTAGCTTTTTAGTACAAAAATTTTATTTTTTTGTGCTAGAAAACTGATTTAAGAAGCAATAAGAAAGTCGTCCCAAATGAAGCCTAAGTAAATTTTGTTTTCCCTATTAATTTTTTTTTCTTCATATTATCACACTCTGATTGTTTTAGTAGATATTCACTTACAATTATAAAATCACTAAAACAAATATTTTAAATAAAGGATATTTAGATTAAAATTTTAAAAGAATCAATTCACTTCTCTTATATTTAGACTTCGTTTGAGACGAGTTTTTTTTATTGTTATTTAAAACAGAACTTTAGTACAACAATTAAAATTTTGTACTAAAACTCTATTTTTTTTACTAAATCTCTTTGTAGCACAAGCGCATAAAATTATCTCTATAGAAGATATAGAGGATGCAATAAAAAAAGAAAATAAAAACCTTGGTACTTAAATGCTAAGATTCTTCGTAAAGATGCTGAGAAGAAATTGTAAAAGATCAAAGGGTAGGACAGCTAATCTATTTTTAAGAAAAGTAAGAAAAATAATTTTAATTTGAGTTGAAATATTAAAACAAAATTGGGTTATAATTTTAATTTAATATCCGAACACGTCCCACGTGCGGCGTGTCCCGCTGCCCCCGCCCACGTAAGCCCTCGCGTCCGCCCCCTCGCCCGCCGTCCGCCCGCCACCGTTCCGACGCCTGCAGAACCCAAATCCGGTCGGGTCCGGGTTCGGATTTCCGACCCGTTTGTCTACCCGGGTCGGGTTAGGGTCGACCCGTTTGAACCCGGGTCAGTTCCGGGTTCGACCCGAACTCGACCTCTGACCTGAAATTGACACCCCTAGTTAACAGACAACTTGTTTAAGCTCGATCGAGCCCATTTTATTGAGCTTAAAATATTAAATATTATTTTAACAAAATTTTTAATAGCATCATAGCATGTCTTAGTTTTATTAAATTTTCTTAAAATTTAACACGCACCTTATCTTGTTGTTAATGGCTTCTGATTTGCACTACATAAAGACAAAATTTTCGAACTCCCCTTTGATGTAGGATTAAACAAGCTATGTGAATGCTAAATGATGGAATATTGTTTTGTTGAAAACAATTGAATTTGGGATTAAAAATCATCTTATATGTATATGTTCAAAATCTTAAGATGTTTTTTATGCATCTTACTTAACAATACATATGAGCCATATGGCTTTACTTCATAGCTGCTTCTTATGTATCTTAAGATGTTTATATGAGCTTTTAAACTAAGGCTTCATTTGGGACGACTTTCTTAATGCTTCTGAAAATAGTTTTTTAGCACAAAAATTAAAACAAAAGCTGCTTTAAGAAGCTGTAAGAAAGCCATCACAAACAAAAGAACCATCCATAGTCTGGACTGTAAAGAACCGTCCGGATGTGAGTGTACACAGAATATACACTGAGTATAATTTTGTACATAGTTTGATTTTTTTTTTTTTTATATACAGTGTGTACAAAAACTATGTACGCTCACATCCAGATAGTTCTTTATCGTCTGGACTTCGCACGGAATAATTTCTGTAAACAAAGTCTAAGAGCCTCTATATTATTTTTGATAGATCTAACTTTCATATTGATTTAGAATGGTGTCAGGGGCTTAATGCTGGATATGTATGACTTCCGCAATGACATCTGGCTCTGCCACTCCTTTGGCGGCAACTGTTACAACTTCACTGCATTTGTAAGCTCTCTAAGTTAAAAGAAATCTCATCATATATAGTTTACTTTAGATATATTTCATGCCAAAGTACTAAATAAGCACTCAATGTCATCTTAACCTCAGCAACCAGCCCTTGACGTGCTCAAAGAAATCCAATCATTCCTGGAAGCAAATCCTTCAGAAGTCATAACCATATTCATTGAAGACTATGTCAAAACTCCCAACGGCCTCACTAAGGTCTTCACTTCTGCTGGCCTCATGAAGTATTGGTTTCCTGTATCTCGTATGCCGAAGAACGGCGGCAACTGGCCTTTACTCAGTGAAATGATCAACAAGAATCAGCGTTTGATCGTTTTTACATCAAAATCAGCAAAAGAAGCTTCAGAAGGCATTGCGTATGAGTGGAGATATGTAGTAGAAAATCAATGTATGAATACTGGAAAAAAGAAGCATTTTATCTAGGGGTGTCAGTCAATATTTGACATGACCCGAAAGTCCGACTTGAATCCGACCAAAAATTTTGGGTTAGGTCAACCAGGACCCGAAATGGGTCGGATTCGGGTTTAACAATTCGACCCGTTTCAAAAATTGGGTTGGGTTCGGGTTAACTCTTTGACCCGAAATTGGCCCAAATTGACCTGTTTTTTATCCAAAAACCCGTGGGTTCGGGTCACAGGTTGGGTTTGGGTCAAACCCGAAATTGAACTAGCACTATTCGGGTCAACATGAACTTGACCCATTTTTGCAAACGGGTTGATTTTTTGGACCCGAACACGACCTACTTCTGGTTCGGGTCTACACGACACGACCCGAATGATCCGGAACCGTGAAAAAATTGCTAGTGTTTGGGCCAAAAAAAAGGACCAAACTCTGCTTTTCGGGTAAAAAACCGGTCGAAAATGGGTCAATTTCGGGTTTTCGGATAAAAAGCGGATTTTTGGGTAAAAAACGGGTCAATTTCAGGTCAAATGGTTAACCCGAACTCGAACTGATTTTTAAAACGGGTCGAATTGTTAAGCCGAAACCCGACCCATTTCGGGTCCAAGTTGACCATAACTTGGAGTTTTTGTGTCTGATTCGAGTAGGATTTTTGGGTTATGTCAAATATTGACACCCCTAATTTTACCTACCATTTGAGTTTTTTATCAATTCGTTACCTTTAATGTGCAGATGGAGATGGCGGAATGAAAGCTGGTTCTTGCCCGAATCGAGCTGAATCATCCCCCATGAACGCCACATCAAGATCGCTTGTTCTGATGAACTATTTCCCTGACATTCCTAATCTTGCAAATGCTTGCAAGGAGAATTCAGCTCCTCTTATCGACATGCTGAACACTTGCCACAATATGTCTGAAAACCGATGGCCTAACTTCATAGCTGTGGATTTCTATAAGGTCTTTTTTTTTTCTTGATAATCACAGCAAGAATCTTATCAAATTGCCTTAGTTTTATTGTATGAACGATCCATACTGTTACATGCTGCAGAGAAGTGATTTAGGGGGAGCTTCTCAAGCTACAGATGACGCCAATGGACGTCTTATTTGTGGATGCAGTGATATTTCTTATTGCAAGGTATTAGCTTATGTAAAATTAATGGAGAGAAAATAGTCAAATGAATACAAATATCACTGTGTGAGTTCTTCTGAAAGTACTTATCAGAAATCACTTTCCTTGTTGCAGATTAATGGCTCATTTGGCTCATGTGATGTGACGCCTAAGCCTGTAGATATTGATACTCAAGGAAGTGCAGAGAAGAGGAAAGCTGTTTCTGCAGTAGGTCGGATGTCACATCCAGAAAACCTGCTATGGATGGCTGGATTAATTGTGGTCTTCCTTTTTGGGAGCTTGTAGGTATAATATCTTTGCTGGTGGGAACTTGTGATTGTAGGGCTAATCAAGCCTTTTGCTTTTAATGTGTTATATTAGGTCCTTTTTTTGTATTATTATTATTTTAGATATGTTTTAATCTATACAGCATTATTTCATCATTATTTGCTAAGATTGGAATCATTATTTTATGTACTGTGAGGGGAAGTTCCACTACAAAAAAAAAAAAAAAAAGTTAATTTATGAAAAAGGAAAATTTATTTTGAGGTTGAACCATTTGAAATACCTATTGTCTTCTCTTTTTTTTTCCCCCTCTAATCTTCTTTTTCTTATTATTATAGTTTGGAATATTCACGGTGATAGATGGAATGTTTAATGTCCTAATTTTGTAGGAAGATTGACAGATTGTCTCATATTGATGCGAAAGTCCTGTGGAGATCGACAGACAGATGGTTGTCTGGCGGTGGACCCATATTGATCCCCTTGATTATGGAGCATTTGTCAAGCATTTATGTGCCCAAATGAGATTAGAATTAATCGTTGTTAGGGTTGTTGGATTCGTCTCGTCAAGCCGCTCGATTCTACTATAAGCATGATATATTTGAATATCATTTTTTCATCCAATTTGTACTTTGAACCTCCCAAATGTGTCTTGGTCCTCTAATTTTGACCTATATAGGCTCGAGATTCATGCCAGACCAAAACGATTTTTGTGACATATCACTTATATAGTAACCCTTAGCTGTAGAACACTCAACTCAAAAGCCACCATCAGCGATGCTACATAGGGATATAATTGCTAAATGAAAGTTTGGGATTTTTAGTAAGTAGACAGGCAATCCTTAATAAGTAAACCTTAAATGGGAGTCATATTGATGCAGCGCATCATTGGAGCCAGGACCACTTACCGTTAGCTTGCAGTTCCCACCTCCACCTTTTACTCTATTCGGTTATGGCCAGTACTAGTTTACCTTTTGGGCTGTTAGTCCTCCTTTTAGTATTTCTTACTTAGTATTTTATTTGAGTATTTTAGCTACAGGTTTTATATACCCTCAGGTGCTGCGGGAGAAAGCAGCTTGTCTTTACACCAAAGTTATTTGCTTCAATAGAAAACCCACCCGGGCTCATCACCGCCTGGGGTCTTACTGTTCCATTGGTTGCCCCTTTGTTTTTCTAGCTTTTCTTGCAGGGTCCTCGCGGAAGCCTTATCGACGGACGACGATCGCGGGTTGCATCACATATGCTTGTAATGATGATGAGCTAGTATTCTATAACATTTTTGCTGTCCATGCGATTTTAGGAAATTAATAATGCATTGGGTGATACTCATCCTTTAAAGCTTTTATAGAAACTATAAGCCTAAAAGAAGTTAAGCTCCAAGGAATAATTTGTTTCGACCTATATATGCTAACTCTTAATTGGTCTCTATAAAAATATTGGTTGAATTGGCTAATTCTCGTTCATTTGTAGTTAGCTCCATCCTTAGAGTACCAATATATTACTTGAATGATCTTTGCAGTCAAAATGAGTAATGGACAGTAGAAATAATTTGCAATCACTGAAAAGCTTCAGTTCACATTAGCAAGGAAATGTTAGTTAACTTGCACTTCAATTTAAACTAAAATTTTAAATATTCTCATTTTGCATTCTTATTATCTTTCTAATTTTTTTATTACTATTTAGGTTTTATTTGGAATTGCTTTCTCACTGCTATGTTTTTCAAATCATAATTATAATTTTCATTTGATCACTATTATTTAGCTGTTTGCAAAAAAAAAAAATTATGCTAGGAAGTTCATTTCTACAGCAGCGTTTTAAAAAGTTATTTTCTCCGCATCAACTCTATATTCACTTCTATAAAAAATTATAATAATCATCCCAAATAAATTCTTAGTCATTCTTGAAACTAAAATTTTATTATTACTCATGAATAAATTTAGATATATTAATTTACCAGAACTTGTTAGTGCCGTCCTAAGGAGAAAGTATTCTATGAGGATACTGGACGGTTCACAGATCAATCATAATGCGTCACGTCATCCGGTACATAATGACCATTTATATAGAGAAAATAAATAATATGATGCATTGCAAACACCTCCAAACAAAATAATTTTTCCAGCCTAAGATTCCTCATGTCTGTACGAAATTAGCAGAACCAATGAGCTCTTGCAACGTCACTCCAAATGTTTATGGGCACTCTTACCGTTTAGCGCCTGTCGGTGGAGTTTTTATTTGGTCCGGTGCAAGGACCTAGAGGAAGGTTCGGTTTTGCCTAAAAAAGTGCAAATATCGAGTTTTTTGAAAAAATACCGAGTTTTTCAAAAAACTCGGTATTTGCACTTTTTACCTATTTTTGGCTAAAACCGAACCTTCCTCTACATCCAGTGAAAGGACCTAATAATTGCTCCTGTCGGTGGGGTTCACACCAATCATCCTTTTCGACAAAACATATGCGCAGCGTGATTCACGTGGTTGATTATGGTTTAATTATCATAATTAAGCAAAGCGTTTTTATTATAATCTTTAATTTTATATAATTTATTAACAAATCTTCTTTTTAATTTTAAATTTTTTAAAAGCTTAAGAATATTGTCTTCGTAAAGATTTTGAGCATATTTTCGTCTAAAAAAATTTACATATGAGGACTTGTTTTTATACAAATTATCCTCGTATGAATTAAGAGAGTTGAGCTTATCATTTTAAGTAAAAATTTAATTTAGCTCCAAATATTACTAACTTATAGTCTTATAATAGAAAAAATGTTCAGATTTTTAATAAATAGTATTATTATTACATTTGAGCAAACCTTTTAAAATTATATAATACATTGAAAATTTTATCTTTGTAAATTTAAATGTTTATTTGTAATTTATTTTATAACTAATTATCAAATTATGGAGTAATTTTAGAAATTTTATTATTATTATTATTATTATTATAGAAAATTTATTATAGTTTTATAAGTAAAATTATAATTAGCATAAAAAATTATCACATATATAGTAATTTAATACAAAGTAAATCATATTATAAATTATCAATTTAATTCTTAAAATAGAATCATATTATAATCATTTCTGATTTAGCTTAAGAAAAATAATTGAATACGTTTATTTCAAAATAAGATTCTTATTATTATCTTTAATGAATGATTAAGGGTCCGTTTCAGGAAAAATTATTTTGTGCAGATACTGAATGACATTCAGAAATCAACTTGAACGCATTACATCACTTTTTTGCTCTGTACTTTTTCTCGTTACCTCTTGGTACCAAATGATGTGACGTTTTCTGATTGGTGTCCGAACCGTACGATATCCAAATATAATAATTTCTCCCGTTTCAGACGGCTTTAATTTTTTATAAAGATGATTATAATAATGTTGAGAAAATAATTTTTTTAAAATATATTGTAGAAAATAATTTTTTTTTAAAACAGCAGGAAATAATGACCAAATGAAATTTATAATTATAATATGAAGAGAATGGATGAAATTATTCTGTTCAGATACAGACGTTGTATGGAGGTAAATCAAAATACGTCACATCATTTTTTCACTGTGATACTAGGGCTGTCTACCACCGTAGCGTATTTTGATTCACTTCCAACAGTTCGATATCTATACAGAATAATTTATCCTGTGTCGTGTGGGCTCTGCACGTAATAATCTCTTGTGAATTGAACGTAAATTTTGATCGCTTCTGCTGTTCAAATAACGCAATCCCACTCTGCTCAAACAGAGACGCCCAGCCTTCTATGTCTTTCAGGCCAGTAGAAAGCCGAAATGAAGAAGGCGAGCTTTCGTCGTCATTATCATCAAATCTCTGCTTTCTATGTACCATTTCTGCTTCTGCTGAGCGGATTAGCTGAACCCTTTACTTCTGCCGCGGTTTAGCTTCTTCTCGTCCTCCTTTCCTCATGAACTTGTGTTTTTGTGCTTGATTTGGTTTAGATTAATGCTTATTATTATTATTTTTAAATGAAATTTGGTTTCGGGTTGTGAGCGCAGTTGGGACAGTTCTGTAAGACCGGCTTTGTTACAAAACGCGGCATGGTGGGGCGGTGCACCGAGATCAGTCGATTCACACTGTCCGATCCCAAATCTAGGGTAAGATTCTTTTTCATGGAAGGTGTATCCCACTACAGGAAAATCTTTGATTTATCGGCGGAATTATATCCATCGATAAAAGTGACGGTGTAGCTAGCTGATATTCTGCGGGAATATAGCGGCGGAATTTCTGATAGATATTCATCCCACAAATTATCAGCATAAAATCCGCCGGCTTTTACTGTCTACTGAATTTTCACTGGAAATTCTTTCTGGCAGAATTTTATTTCGGGCGGATTGTGGCTGCCGGTAATAACAGATTTTTCTGTAGTGTACGCGCATGAGAGAGAGAGATGAACTGATGAGCTGATGGGTGTAGGGGACGGGACTGCCATTCAACAGATACGCGTGGCTAACGATGCATAGTTCGTTCACATGGGTCGATCGGAATTCGGTCAAGAGTGCATACAAACAAGCTTCCATTACCAGCCAGCTCAAATTAGTAATCTGATCTCTCTCTCTCTCTCTCAGTTCGTTTTTCTGCTGTACGTTTTGAGTCACTCGAATGGCTTTTGAGCTTTAGTAGCGCAAGAAGTAAATGGTTTAAGTTTTTGAGAGAGTTTTGATTTGAATATAGTTAGTTTGTGAGTAGACCATTTAAAAGATTTGATATAAAGTACTCTTAAAAATGATTGAAATTTAAAATATAAATATAAAGATTTGATTATACAAGCCTCATAATATTTTAAAAAAAAAAGAAATATACTCTTTATTAATTTTCTTGAAGAAATATACTTGAAAATCCGTTTAGAACCAAAATGCCCCTTCTTTAGAAAACAAACTACTTATTTAAACTGACTCAAACAACATAAGTTCGAACAAAAAATCAAATAAAATTCAACCCATATTTAATCAAGGTTTGGATAATAAATAAAATTAGTTCTGATTTTGTTGGAACATGATTAGAATCATATTCGAGCACTTTGAATCATTTTTAAACCTGTTTGAATAAAAATATAGGTTGGGAGCCTGTTCTAATAAGGTTCGATCATAATTTAAACATTCAATATAGTAGCTATCCGAACATCTATGACATAGCATATTTACATAGAAACAATAATGTTTACTATACGTACAATTGTGTTCTACTAGTGATATGCAATATTAATGTGAAAGAAGTGTACACATAGACCGCCGCTATAGAATTGTATACAACCATGTGCAACATTTAGAAGATTTTTTCTTGTTGTCAAGTAGATTAGTGTTGCATTGCATGCATGTCACAATCTATATTGAAAATGCAGTATAATACGCTCATGAAGTTATATAAGATAGTAATATGTATAAAATTTTATTAAAATATCAAATAACTTACCTTATTATAGTCATTCAAACCTAATTTGTAGTGGCCCTCCTCCACTTCCAAGGAGATTTGGGGAGGAAAAGTTCATGTTGCTTATTAAATAACCATAACATCTTAATCAATCTAGGGAGTCACTTTCAAAATGAACTAATAGTTGCTTACAAGGTCTTCATTCAGGTACAAGAAGGTTGAGAGAGACATGCAACATCAGGGCCTTTTTATGAAGCGATGTTTCACATATCATCAAATAAATTTTATTCAAGTTCATTTGGAAATATGTGAATTATACAATCGCCTATAACTTCAAGAACTTCTTGTACGTTCTCTCCAATGATGTATATAATGCCCTCACCAATCCACTTAAATATGTCATTTCTCTTGAGCTTTAGGGTTTAGAATTATCAATTTGCAGCAATGCTCAAATAATTCATCTAACATAATCATGTCAGATAGGTTTCTGAGTAGTGCAAGATTTTATCCTTGGCTATGAAAGATAATAAATCAAAAAGCTGGAAAAATAAAAATTATATGTTAATGTAAATATTATTTGAATATCGAAATAGAAATATACATGATTAGTAGATTTTGTATTGAAAATGATTGATATATCTTTTGCACCCCTTCTTTTATTTTTTTTAATGAATAAAAAGAGAAGGGAATAATTATCTTTATTTCTATTTATAAAAACAAAGACAAAAAGATCGTATTATATACCTGGTAAGTACCAATACACAACAGGAGTATTTTGAGGAAAAATAATGCATATATACTTTTTTATAAATCAAAATCATTCAAACTATCTAATTATGTGTGATAGTATTCAACTTCTAAAATCATGTTGTCCTTCCACTACTCACTCCTATCTCTATCTTGTTCAAGTTTTCAATAAGTCTTAACAAGGTTTGTGAGTATAAATAATATTCAAAACAAGTTTGATCAAGGTTTAAACATGCTTTAAAACATGATAAAGAAGTAGTATGCATGTTATTATTATTTAATTCATAATAGTAACAACAATATAATCAAATATTAGTGCAAAAATAATAAGACTCACACTCATTAGCAATAAAGTCTGTAAAATAACAAAACAATATGGTACAAATAGCAATATAGTAACCAATAATCCTGTATACTAGTATGTGCGTCAATTCAATGAAATAGTGATCAATCATGTCATCATAATAATTTTCAATCAATAAAGAAATCATATTAATTGGAGGAACCAAAGTCTTAATAAAACTATAAAAATGACATCAATGCAATAAAACTATATGTAAAGAGTATATACTATATCCATCCATTCCATATCAGAACCAATTCAGCTTATTAATCACATGCTTAATGTATCCAATATATCATATAATTGATACCAGTGAATCGATAAACAATAATAGTATCAATGAATCAGTATCAGTATCAGTGAATCAATGACAATATCATTAGTGACAATAATAATAGAGCAATACAATAACAGTAATAGTATATCCATACATTAATAGTAAATTAGTGTAATAACAATAAGGTCATATAGTAATAATGAATTAATAACATGTATTATTATATCACACAAAACAAGTTAAAAGTTGTGGTTTGTAATATGTTTTTCCAATAGTTGGTAACCAATAATCAGTAACCGTTAGTTCAGTAAATAAACTTATTACTCCTTATACATTGGTATAATAATAACTCTTTATAACTCTCAATCAATGTATCATGTGAATTAGTCAAGGAAAACACCAAACCATAGTATTTAGATAAAAGTCCATCGGCCCACCATCATGCATAGGCCAATTAGTCTTCAGCTAATGTCAGCAAAACCTACTTTTTATTTGTTTTTACATATTTTATTATCACATTATTATAATAGTAATAGCGACCAACTATCACTCATTCAAATATCAGTATTCATTCTCAATGCATATTTTAATAATAAGCTTAAATAAAATACCTACTTAGCAAAATTCACAGTTTCAAAATATAATAAAATTATTTGAGATTGTGCAAATATCGTTCTAATATTTTAATTGTACCACAACATTACTTTTCAAAGTCAAAATTATTTTCTATTCAACAAAAATCACACAATTTTTAAATTCATTGGAAAAAATATCAATAAAATATTCAAAATATTTAGAATCTCAATCTCTATAATATATAAAAAGTTACACATTAAAAGTTTTATCAGTACAAAATTATCCATTTTTTTGTAACGAAAATATAAATTTAATCGAAAGAGAAAAATTCATATTTTTGAAAGTTGAGATAAGTATAATGTGACCTACCTTAATCTTGACAACTTTCTCAACTGGCCTAATGGATAAAAGTTGCTGGAAGTAACTTAAAAATCCTTCTATCCCCCTCCAAAACCCTCTCCTTCTATCCCCTGCTTAGCTGGATACGGCGCTCGAATGAGTGGAATAGTAGGTTTATTTTATATTTGAAGTGCAGATTGTGGCCTAGAGCTGCATACAACATTACCACCTAGCGTTGCGATGCTAGTTCATTTGCCAAAAGCCCAAGACTATAGCATTGAAATATCACAATTTGGCACATCGGTGCTCGGACACCCAACAATTATGCGTTAAAATAGTACAATTGCAATTTTTTTTACCAAAAGCAATCCAAAACTGTTGTGACTCATTCTAAAACACTTGCATACCTTTTTTATACACAAAAAACTTTCAAACACATGCAAATAAATTCAAAATATTAAATTTCAAATCTTTACCTTTAAAAGTTACTTTTTTTATATTTTCGAGTTATTATGAAACATGCTTTGAACAAAGTTTTGTGATGGAATTTCATTTAGGGTTAAGGGTTTAGAGTGCAAATGCCTTTTTTTTTTAATTTACATAATAAGATATTCAAGGGAAATAAAACTTTTACCTTGAAAAATCTAACATTCAACTTGTTTTGAAATAACTTTTGAGTCAATTCAATGTAAAATTAAGGTTACTTTTTGGCTATCATTTGATCTTTTGTTACATTACATTGCAAATATTACTCCTGAAAAATCTAACATTTTATGTTGATTCAGAATGGTGTCAGAGGTTTAATACTGGATATGTATGACTTTCAAAATGAAATTTGGCTCTGCCGCTCCAGTAGTGTTTACTGTAATAAGTTCACTGCAGTTGTAAGCTCTCTAAACTAAGTCTTCGTTTGGGATAGCTTTCTTAGTAATTTTCAAAGTAACTTTCTAGCACAAAAAATTTTAGTTCAACAATTTTTTGTACTAAAAAGTTACTTTAAAAAGCAGTAAGAAAGCAGTCTTCTCAAACGAAATCTAAAGCATTCTTATGATATAATTTACTTAAGATATATTTCATGTAAAATACAAAACTAATAGTGGATGCTTTCTTAACTTTAGAACCCAGTCATTGATGTGCTCAAAGAAATCCAAGCATTCTTAGAAGAAAATTATTCAGAAGTCATTACTATATTCATTCATGACCATGTTGAATCCCCTGGCGGCCTCACTAAAGTCTTCACATCTTCTGGCCTCATGAAGTACTGGTTTCCTGTATCCGGTATGCCAAATAATGATGGCGATTGGCCATTACTCAGTGACATGATAAACAATAACCAACGTTTGATCGTCTTTACTTCAAATTCAACAAAAGAAGCTTCAGAAGGCATTGCATATCAGCAGAGATATGTAGAACAATGTGTGTATGTTAAGAGAGATGATTCTGTACGGTCACCGAACGGCGTTCAGAGGCAAATGAGAATGTGTTACATTATTTTTTTGTTGTGTACCGATTGGTACCGGGTGATATGGCGCAATCTGATTCGTATCTGAACCGTTCGGTGGCCACAGAGAATAGTTTTTTTTATCAAAAGTACTGGATTCTCCATTTGAGCTTTGATTATTTTATTATCTTTTGATGTGCAGATAAAGATCAAGGTGTGAGACCAATTTTTTGCTCTACTCGAGCAGAACCATCCCCCTTGAATGGCACATCAAGATCACTTGTTCTCATGGAATATTTTTCAGAGCCTGTAGAAATTTGTCAGGGGAGTTTACGTTCTAGTCATAGTTTGCCGGGAAATCGATGGCCTAACTTCGTAGCTTCGGATTTCGATAAGGTCTTTTCTCTTCGATTAAATATTCTTGTGCGGACGTCATTCGGAGGCAAATTAAAGCACGCCACATCACCTTCTTGCTGTGTACCCGCTGTGCATCAGATGATATGGCGTGCTCTGATTCGTCTCTGTCGAGTATTCGCACGGAATAATTTCTCTTTTTTCTTGATGATCACAACAACAATCTTTCCCATTTACTTGAATTTGTTGTTTCTATAACCCCATGCTGTTATAAGCTGCAGAAAAGCGATTTAGGTGAAGCTTCTCAGATTACAAATGAGGCCAATGGACACCTAATTTGTGGATGCAATGATATTGCTTATTGCAAGGTACTAAGTTCTTTTTTCCTTTCTAATAGATAAAATAGGAGTAGAAGAGAACAAATATCCAAAGAATGCAAATATCACCAGGGTTATTTCTGAAAACATTTGTCATTATTTTTCAAATTTCTTATTGCAGAATAATGGCACATTTGGCTCTTGCTCTCTGCTGCATAAGGCTGATGATAAGGCAAGTTCTTCAGTGGGTCAGATGTCTTATGAAGATAGCTTGCTATGGATGGTTGCATTGGCTATGGCCTTCCTTTTGGGCAGCTTCTAGTCATAAAATGCAAGACAAGCTTTTTTTTTTCTTGGAGTGCTAATTTTATCTTTGTTTTTAATAATATGCTTTGATCTATTGTAACATTAAAGTTTTAATAGTTATAAAATAAAGAGAGACAATTTAGGCAGTTCGAATTGTTATACAATTCTATATTAAATATATTTTTTACATTAAAATACTTTAAACAAGTCAGACTTAAGAGCAACTAGTTGAGGTAGGATAAGCTAATATTTTGCTTGTTGAATCATTGTGCTCAATTCATGAATCATTTATTGAATTGAACCTAAGCTAATTTATCTGTGTGAGTGAGTTTATGATTAAGATTTCGTTTGGGACGGCTTTCTTACTGCTTCTTAAAACAGCTTTCTAGTTTAAAATTTTTTAATTTTTGAACTAAAAAGCTACTTTAAAAAGCAGTATGAAAGCCGTCCCTAACGAAACCTAAGGCTTTGCTTGGGACAACTTCCTTACTATTTTCTAAAGCAGTTTTTTAAAAAAACTTTAGAAAGCAGCTTTATTTTTGAACTAAAATTTTATAAAGCAAATTTAGAAAGTAGCTTTTAAGTATACAAATTTTTTGAACTAAAATTTTTTGTATATTAAAGCTGTTTTAGAAAGTAATGAGAAAACTGCCTCAAATGAAACCTAAATTCGTTCAAATCTAAAAAAAAAAATTATAAAGCTGGATTGGAAAGGTATACTCACAAGCCATGGTAAATATAACATAGCAAAATTTTGCTTTGATAACGAATAGCAAGGATTTTGCAATAGTTTGTTCAATATAAAGGTCAAATAATTACAAATAAGCAAAATTTTGTGAATATTTTTTAAAAAACAAATTACAGAACAAAGCACATTTCAAAAATCATAGCAAAGGGTAAGCATTTTTATCAGGTAAAACCCAACACGAATCATGACCCGAATAGGCTGACATGCTCTCCCAATTTTGGATGAGATCATTGCAGTCTAATTCTTGAAACTATTTACATCCATGCATCATTGCAGTTCACCAACTGGTGCTTCATTCAGCCACAGAAAATGGATGAAGTCATACAGCCTGCCGCTCACACTAATCTGAATCATACAAGCAGATTGCGATATCTATTATGTCAGAAATGAAATAGTATCAAGAAGACGATGAATTATTCTGTGCGGACAGCAGGCAGTTCTGCATGCCTAGTTTGTCTCTATGAACAGTAAAAGCACAGCTTCATGTTGCGTTTTTACTGTTCACGGAGACAAAACCGGACGGTTCTTCCGGTCCGATGTCCGCACAGAATAATCTCTCCAAGAAGACAAGCAGGACATCAGACCTTGTATGGTGTCGGATTTATCCTCCTCATATGATCGGACCTCATCTTCTGCAGCTGCTGCATGCAATGATTCCTGATATCTTGCAGGGATGGTAGCTCTTCTCTTGTTTCATCTGAAAGGAGAAAACAAAAAAAGACATTAAAGATTAATACATTTGCTTACAAGCCAAGTGGGGTTGCGAATGCAAGACTACACATGCGATAATAGTTCATTTGTTAAACAAATCACTGTATCTCTTGTCAATGTGAAGCATTGTAAGGAAAACAAAAAGGTTTATGCACTTAATGAACTTTATTTTCAAGCGACAAGTGAAGATGCATACGCGACTTTCCCGGCCAATAGCATTTCAGAAGCTCCTCCACATGCTGTGGCACAACGTAGGCTCTTTTAGATTCAATGAAAGGGTGACGGCATAGAATGCGATCACCAGCCTGTAGACATTTAACAAATTTCTTGGTTGATCAAGATGTAATTCTTGTCCGTAGCATAATAAATCTACTTTTATTGATGTACACAATATTATTGGGAGAGAGAGAGAGAATTGGAAAGAACATCTTTATTGAATTATCTTTTAGTATATGTGCTTATATACAAGTAATTGAAGAGAACAACCAAGTAAAGTATAATAAAGAAGAATATTCTCCTTAACAAAAAAAAAAAAAAAAGTAGATCAAAATATATCAGTGCAATCCCCATTGAAAAAAAAAAAGTAGATCACAAAGTGTACAAAAGATCTGCAAGAAATTTATCAAGCACTTCACTTATCGATAACAAAGATAAGGACCCAAAGAAGGAAGAAGAAAGAAGAGTGCAAATGGGTTGCAATTAGAGGAAAATGTGAGAGCAGATTAATAAAAATTAGAAGTTTGAGTAGTGAGACATCGCCAAGATGTTTATAGAAGATTAAAAGAATTTTAGGTTGTCTTTGATACGATGTTAGACGATGTTAAAAGGAAAGATAATGAGGAAGGACCGCAGCTTTACTGAATTTCCATATGTTATACGCATGCATGTGCTTATAGTTTGAAAGAGAGAAATAAAATAATAAGGAAATATTATCAATAATAAGAAAATATTACAATACTAAATAGTCTAGATTGTTACTATAAATAATTTAGGCCATGTAACAATTTAGATAGAGTAACACTCCCCTACAACTCAAGGTGATATAGAAAATGCCAATCGGAGCTTGAAAATATTAGTGAACAAAGATGTAGTAGTTGAAAATTTTGTTACTTGAAGTTTGCAAGTGTTGTAAAAGGAATAAGATCGATCCGAAAAAGAGAGGAGTATAAATCAAATGCATGAGAAAATAACAAGAACCATAAAAAAAAGGCACAATTGAGACTCTCAAATAGATATATTGATAGAGGTAGTTGAAGGAGTTAATAACATAAAGCGTCAACAAAGAGTATTGAGAAGAGAATGTTAGGAGAGAGCACGGCATAGTGAGAACAAAATAAACTAGTACAATCATCATTGGAGAACATAAGAGATCATGAAGGAGATTAGTTGTAGATGGCCTTTGGGGATATGGAGGTGGGTATGGCGCGCAGCTGAAAAGGCGCATGTAAAAGTGATTAGGGTCGTCAACAACACATTTGCGAACAAGCAAGCAGCGAAGACAGTAACAAATAAGAATAAGAGCTGATTAAGGAGACTTGATGCAGACTAGAGAAACATCTATTGCTAAATGATACAGAGGTACCAGAGGCACTGAAGGAATGACCTTAGCAATGGGGAGGTGAGAAAAGCAATCAAATGACTTGATATAATGCTAAAAAGAAGAAAGAATTAAAAATTACTACATCTTTATTGAATTATCTTTTTATATAAATACATATATGTGTGTAGACATAGCAAGAGAAGAGAATAATAAAAAAATATAATAAAAGAGAAAGTTTCAAATAATGAGGAAATATTTTATTTAAAAAAATGCATATTACAACAATAAATATGGTAATATGATAATTTAAATATTGTAACAAATAATTTCAAGTAGCACTTCAATCTGAACTCAATTCCTAGAGAGTTGGCACTGAACAAATCCCACAAAATATGTTTTAAGTGGAAAATTGATATTTAAAGAACAAAATTTTAGATTAATAAACTGGCTATTTAAATATCAAATGGAGGAAGAAAAGAAAATGAATGTGATTAAAGTAGTACCATGGGTGGTGGCTCATTCACCCCAATCATTAGATCTACCAAAGGGAATCCTTCTCTTCCATACAATCGGAAACATCGTTTCTTACATGGTATGGAGACCTAAAAGTAACAAATAACATAGTCACTGAATATCACGCAGTCCAAGCTCAAATTAGTAATATATGCAAACCTTTGTAATGTCTTCAGAAAGTTTCATCCGAGGTTGATTATTTATCTCAACTAATTTGAACACACAACCAAGAGCTGCCTGAGAATAGCATGTCACAAGATGGGTGCCAATTCCATAAGTATCAATCTCATGCCCCTGCATATAAGACAATCAGAAAAATTGAAGCAATTATGAAGAAGGCTCTTGCTCTACCCCATTACCTGCTTGTTTAAGGCATCGAGTGTTTCCTCATTAAGGTCATTACTGGCCGCTATAGCTGTTTTGCCAAAACCAGCAATACAAAATTCCTTCTCTATTGCATTAAAGAACTTCCTAGATTCAATAGACAAATATGACAGATCACCGGAGTCCAACCTAATTCCGCTTGCTTTATACCTGTAGAAAAGAAGATACCACTTGATTTAATTAAATAATCATTTATCATAAAAATAAACTAGCTTTCTTCAGTCAAGATATAATGATGAGCATTTCAAAGCCAAAATGTAATCAGTTACAGCAGGCAGGAGGATCTCAACATTTTGCCAGCGTACTTCAAAAACAAAAGAATTTCAGTTTAAAAAATCCAAATAATTAATTGATATTTCAATAAATGAACATACCCTAAATCATTTAGTGCTAGGGCTACTGCACAGAAATTGGGAAGACCGCTTCTCATTACCTAAAAAAGATAAGAGTTATTTGAGATACTTGCAAACAGATAACATAGTACAGTAATCAATTAACCATCGCCAAGCTATGGAAAACAATAATTTATATTCAAAGGTCAAGAAAAATTGGCATGATGGGTTAAAGGAAGTCGGGAACAATACCATTTGACATAAAAATGAAATCTGAAATGAAAACAGAAAATAAGGAAAAAGATTACGACTTATTGGTAATATATTCCTATTTCCAGCCAGCCTAGGACCAGTTGGTATGGTGAAACAAAGCCTTACAAAGTCTAGTCGGCTAAGAAACTTTTTTGTTGTAATACTCCAAAAAAGCAAAACAAAAAGCCAAAAATTAAATGAACAGAAAGGTAAAATTCATTCACATAGGGTTATCAGACCTGGGCGTAACAATCACAGTTACTACATTAACATTAAAAAAAAAAAAGATTAGAAAAGAATAAAATAAATGAGTTCTTCCATGCAAACAGATAGCTTGATACAAATAAAGATTTGCTTTTGACTTGCTTACATTGTATGTGTCAACGAGTGCCAGGAAGTTGTGCGGAAATGCCAGCGCATAAGATATAAAGGCTGCCAGTTCACTTTCGTTTGTAGCACCAGTAAGCCCACGCAATGATACTGCATGCTGAAGCCATAAATATATAATTAGAACAAAAAAATGAAAGGTTTCTAATATAATACTTTGCACAACAAAAGGATGACACAGGAGTGATAGAGCAATTGATTGAAACATTTCAAAGCTGTACAATCAAAATATTGTAACAGTATGTTTTTATGGGGGAAAAACATGTGAGGGAATGTTGGCCTTAAGATTTTACACAGTAAGATCAAGTTAATCACCGCACTAGTATGCAGTTCTAGGTAAGAAAATTAACTATTATGCTGCAATATATGTTTGCAATACTGGATAAATGCGTCAGATGATTCTCTGCTGTAAATACATACGTCTTCTAAAGTTTCAAGCGTCTTAGTTTTCTCAATGGAGGGATATTACATACATTAAAAAAAGATACCAAGCTGCTAAAATGCCAAGAAAGAAACATGTAGAGTTTCCAACTAAATTGAACATGGATTCATGCCAATAATTCAATACTCAATGCTATATGATAATCAGAAGATAATGTTTATCAAATCAGAAGATAATGTTTATCATGCTAAGGTAATACCTTGATGATCATTATCTTTATATGCTGAGTTCTCAGCAATGATAAAACAGCAAGTGATACAAAAATATGATATTCTTAAGTATATTGGATCATATTGAGTTCTCACCAGCTTCTTGGCTTATTGTAAGGATAAAATGATATTAATCTTCTCACTCATGATTATTTCTAGTTGCACAGCTGTCATCTCATGATATTTTGAGAGGTACGCTAGCAATTTAAATAGTTGGCTCCTTTCATGTACAACCCATACTTTGAAGACTTCGGATATTAGTGAGCTGGCGAATTAACAAGAGCACTGTTTGATGCCTGATGATTAGCAGGTAGAACAAGTAAATGATTTGCAGCAATATTTTACTGCATCAACTGCATCATCATGCCCATTTGCGCCATTATGTCATTCATCTTTGCACTAAGCAAAGAGATTTCTTTATCTTTCATCTTCATTTATAGTTGCAATTTTTTAAGATTGGGCCAATACAACAGTATTGACAAATATTAATTATTCTTCTTCACCTTGTTCTTCTTCTTATTCATCTCCTAAGGAAGAACTTGAATACTCTTCTTGTTCCTATCCTCTAGGAGGAACAACAGATATAACAATAACCCCATAATGTCGCTCATAGATTTATATGAGGGGCTGCTCATCTGTATATGATACCATATAGAGAACTACTTAAAAATTTTTTGGGCCTAGGTTAGAAATAAAACTTCAAGCAAAATCAAGTATTTATCCCATTATGTGGGATCAGCTATTTTTCACCATTGTGTCCTAGTAAGAGTCAAATTCTCATTTAATCTAATAAAAAAAAGTCATTTCTAAAATAAGAAATTTGAGAATAGTAAGATAAATGTATGACAAAACAAAAAAAAGGATAAATTGATTAATGATTACAATAAAGAGAAGATGGAAGTAGCTCTTATTGAAGTTAAATTAACGACCAATTGTTGGATCAAGAAAAATGATACGAATGCATGAATCCCGCTTTGCAGCTGTAGGATTCTACTTACCTTAAGTCAGATTGAAATTAACCAGATTTCCCCTGAGGGTAGTGTCAGGGTATAATTAGATCTGGGGTCCTTACTTCTCATGAGCGCAAGCACTCATAGTTAATTACACCTCTTAACACGTAAGAGAAAACTCTCGATTAAAAATGAATAAATTTTATGTAATTTAGTGTGAATTGTGAGGAAAATGAAAATAAACCTGATCAAAATCCCATACTTTCGTCGTCCCAGGTATACCGTAGTTTTCAGTCTACTAACACTGATAATCATTGATCGTAGGTGTCCAGAGAATCTGATTAGCAGTCATGGGTTGCCTCCTTCCTCTCAGGGATCCCAAATAGACTAAAGTGGTTAGATGTGAGTTTTAATTTTATTGGGTGTTTTGAGATTTATATCTATTAGAATAAGCAAAAATTAATTTAGTTTGGAATTTATGATTTCGTTTAGAAGTAATCCAGGAGTTTGGATTGGAGCGAGTCTTATGGATTCTTTAAAAAGTAGCTAAAGTATTTAGATTTAGGTAGGGACTTACGACTTTCGTAAAAAGTAGCCCAGGTATTTAGATTGAGACTTATGGCTTCAATTAAAAATGGTCCGCTGGTGGGTCTTACAACCTAACCCTATAGACTAGGATGCCCGAGTGAGAGATCTTAGGCTGTGTTATTACCTAAACATTTTCCTAAAAAGTCGGACTTACGATTTCTATTAGAAATGGCAGGTGTTTTAATTGGGGGTTATGTGTCAGGTCAATTTTACCTAAAACTTTCCCCTAAGGTTGGGCTTACGACTTTTTTTTAAAAATTGTCGAATAGTGGGTCTTACAATCAAGTTCTTGTAAATAAGGCTACCCATATATTTTTTGGATTTGATTATATGTTTCTTGAGTTGACATCAGTTGTTTGACACTTATTGTTTTGCGATAGTACTTTATTACACCAGTATTTTTACTACAATATTTTTCTTTTTACTATTTGGTAGCTTCTTTTTAGTACTTATGTAGTAGTAGCATTTTCTGCTTTAGCATATATTTGAATAATGAATTATTTCAATGTTTAATGAACTTCACTCTTTTATTTGTGGGGAGCTCGGACAGGAGAGTTTGAGCCTTGTTGTGGAGAGCTTGCTGAGCGTTTTATTTTATTGGAGAGTTTGAATTTGTGTTGTGAGGAATTTTGTACATGAGTTTGGTTGTCATCTGTACATGCTATTGTTGAGAATTTCAGAGCTATTGTTTTATGAGTTGTTTGAGAGTTGTTCTGTTGAGTTGTTGTTTGGAGAGAGTTTTGCAGAGTAGTATTGTATAGAGTTATGTATTGTGGAGAGTTTGAGAGCTTTTGTTTTGTGAGTTGGAAAATAATTAGTTGTGAGTTATGTTGAGAATTGTATTGAGTTGAGTTTGAGTTAATTTCAATTTGAGTTGAGTTGCAAGTTTGAGTTGTTGTGTTTGTTTGAGTTTGAGTTGATTAGTGGAATTTTTCCATCCTCTTTTATTGTATTTATTTTATAATTGCTCAAATTAGTCATTAAATTCAAATGCTCTCTAATTTTAATTGACAGCTCTTTGATGTAAACTATTCTCAATTTTTTTAATATGTTCTCGTATTTTAAAATTCTCGAATTTAGAATTTTCATTTAAAAATGCTCTTGGATATAAAATTAACCAATTAATTTTAATTACTTAATTAATTTTGAATATTCAATTAATGAGAAAATTTGTTGTAAGTCTTGCTATTTCATTAATTGAAGGAAGAGAGACGATGTTTTGATAGTCAGAGACTTCTACATTTCAAGAGGAATGACATTTGATATGCTACAATAATTCAATCTTCTACTCAATGTTATTTGTGTTAGAATCTCTTAAAAAGAGATCTCATTTTGAGATATTCAAAACGATATCATTTAGAGACATTCTAGCCTCTTCAAAATAGTCTTTGGAATGAAATGATAACATCCAAGAAGCTCTCATTCATGTGGGATGACATTTGAGGGAATGATGAGAAGTAAGATAAAAGAAAATGGAAGAATATGCTCGCCCCTTTGTTCTTATCGAAATTTTTTATAACAGACTTTTAGTAACGATTCAAATAAGCTAAATGTCATCCCACATAAATGAGAGCTTCTTAGATGATATCATTTCATTCCAAACACTATCTTGAAGAGCCTCGAATGTCTCTAAAAGAGATTGTTTTGAATGTCTCTAAATGAGATCTCTCTTTAAGAGATTTTAACACAAATAACATTGAATAGAAGAATGTGAATTATTGTGGCATATCAAATGTTATTCCTCTTGAAATATTAGATGTCTCTGACTATCAAAACATTATCTCTCTTCCTTCAGGCTAATGAAATAGCAAGACTTGCAACAAATTATCTAATTAATTGATTATTCAAAATTATTTAATTAATTAAAATTAATTGGTTAATTTTACATCCGAAAGCATTTTTAAATGAAAATTTTAAATCCGAGAATTTTAAAATTCAAGAGCAAATTTACAAAAATTTGATAATAGTTTACATTCAAGAGCTATCAATTAAAATCAGAGAGCATTAGAATTTAATGACTAATTTGAGCAATTATAAAATAAATACAATAAAAGATGAGAGGGAAAATTCCACTAATCAACTCAAACTCAAACAAACTCAATAACTCAAACTTACAACTCAACTCAAATTGAAATGAACTCAAACTCAAGTGAAGACAATTCTCAATGCAACTCACAATTAATTGTTTTCCAACTCATAAAACAAAAGCTCTTAAACTCTCCATAACACATAACTCTATATAACACTACTCTCCAAACAACAACTCAACAGAACAACTCTCAAACAACTCATAAAATAATAGCTCTGAAACTCTTAACAACAACATGTACAGATGACAACCAAACTCTTGTACAAAATTCCTCACAACACAAACTGAAACTCTCCAATAGAATAAAACACTCAGCAAGCTCTCTGCAACAAGGCTCCAACTCTCCTGTCCGAGCTCCCCGCAAATAAAAGAGTGAAATACATTAAACATTAGAATAATTCAATATTCAAATACATGCTAAAACAAAAAATGATATTGGTAAAATGCTATTAGTACACTGGTACTGAAAAGAAGCCACCAAATAGTAAAAAGAAAAGTACTATAGTAAAAACACTGGTGTAGCAAAGCACTATAGCAAAACATTAAGTGTCAAATAACTAGTGTCAACTCAACAAACATGCAATCAAATCCAAACAATATCTATGGGCAACCTTGTTTATAAGAACTTGGTTGTAAGACCCACTATCCGAGAACTTTCAAAGGAAAGCCGTAAGCTTGACCTTAGGGAAAAGTTTTAGGTAAATTGACCTGACCCTTAACCCCTAATGAAAACACCGACCATTTTTAATATAAGCCATAAGTCCGACTTCTGAGGAAACTATTTAGCTAATAACACAACCTAAGACCCCTCACTCAGGCATCATAGCCTAAAGGGTTAGGTTGTAAGACCCACCAGCGGGCCACTTCTAAGTAAAGCCGTAAGTCCCAATCTAAATCTAAATACTTGGGCTACTTTCTACGAAAGTCGTAAGTCCAAACCTAAATCTAAATACCTGAGCTACTTTCTAAAGAAGCCATAAGACCCGCTCTAATCAAAACTCTTGGGTTACTTCAAAACCAAGTCATAAATCCCAAACTAAATCAATTTATGAGTATTCTAATATATATAAACCCCAAAACACCCAATAAAATTAAACCCACATCTAATCACTTTAGTCTACTCGGGATCCCTGAGAGGAAGCAACCAATGGCTGTTAATCAGATTCCCGGGACATCTACGTTCAATTATTATTAATGTTGGTAGATTGAAATCTACGGTATACCGGGACAATGGAACCATGGGATCTTGATCGGATCTACCTTCATTTTCTCCACAATTGAAACTAACTTACCTAAAATTTATTCATCCTTAATCGAGAGTTCTCTCTTACGTGTGAAGAGAGGTAATTAACTATGAGTGCTTGCGCTTATGGGAAGTAAGGACTCCATATCTAATTAAACCCTGACACTACCCTCAGGAAAAATCTGATTAATTTCAATCTGAATTAAGGGAAGTGGAATCCTACAGTTGCAAAGCTGGATTTATGTATTCATGCTATTTTTCTTGAGCCAACAGATTTCTATCGACACTACCCTCAGAGGAAATCTAGTTAATTTCAATCTGACTTAAGGGAAATGAAATTCTATAACTGTAAAGAGGGATTCATGCATTTGTGCCATTTTTCTTGAGCCAACACCAATACCTAGTGAAGGATAAGGAACAAGGGTTATCACATGACCAAAGCTGTACAAAATAATTTGAACAAAAATAAATTTAAAATATTACTTTCAAAATAAATGATGGAAGAATGAGGATTCATCAAAGCTGACCTCGAGTAGTTGGGAAAAGGATTGATGATGTTGATTTTATCATGAAATATATAATTTATTGATACAGCCAACAAGGAATAATAATATTTTTTTGAGATAATAATATCAATGCTTTTAAGAAAAACATATGAGCTTGTTTTGACAAATAATAAGGCCAAGGGAGAGAGAACCAGAAGAACCTAACCACTCAATTAAGAGTGCATGTAGTGTGTGATTCAAATGCCATAAAAATATGCAGTTGCTTGAGTATTATAACCTTTAGTTGCTGATGTCTCCATTTATGAACCCTCTAGGATCGGCAGTATTTTTAGCTAAGATTCTGCATATAATGACTTATTTCCATTGGTATAAGGATCATGAACATGAAGCTTAAACTGAATATTGTATAACCATTCTGAAAAAAAACCATGACAACAACAAGAGTCTCGTTAGATGCTGCTTCCTAAGATGAGGTCATTCATTGATCTATGATTGTTAATCTCCCCACTTGATTTCCCTAATGATATTATCAATCATTTTAACGCTCTTTAAAGAGTTAGTATTACAGGACCTCAACAAAAGCTTTAACTTAATACTATTTTCTGTGTCCATACCTTTATCATTTCTAACATAGTTATGTCCCAACTTGCCCGAGGCTAAGCCAGAAATGAGAAAGGTTGTAATAAAGAAAATAAGATGTAATCAGTTTTAAATTACAAAAAGGCAACAGTGGAAAATGTGGAACAGAATACTAAAGGATATAACATAAAATTGCAAGAGGAAAAATAAATTAACCTGAGAAGAGAGTACACCCCAACACATACTCACCTGAAGTTTGTTCAACCAAGTCTGCACAAGATTAACAAAATCCTTGCAAGTACTTGTACCATCACGGCATTGGAGTGCCCTGCTGACAATTTCATTCAGGCTCTATTTAGACCAAAAAACGGGCATTTTGTCAATCATAACAAGTCAAGCGCCTAAAATAATGGAAATCATGCAGTATCTAAGAAACAGGATATTTGTAAGCAATACAAACAATAAAAAGGGTAATGCTCACCAATTATAACTAACAAATATTATTTTTCATAAACAATGAAATATTTTAGTTCAAAAAGCAACATAATATTGAAATAAGTTCTTATAGATTTCTTTGTGCAAAGTGACCCGAACTCAAAACAGGAAGAAAACACATACGCCTATGTTTAATCATAATTCCTAAATAGTTAAGAAAATATGCACACGCCCATCATCCACTTCATGTTTCTTTTTTTTTTTTTTTTACATTTTCCTCATTAAGATACATAGGAAATGAGCAGGTCCACTGCTTTTGCTAAAGGGGATAGAAATGTTTACCTCCATAGTAAAGAGAAACGTACTTTCTTAAGCGGAGCTTTTTCGACGATATATATATAATTAGGGCAACAATGGAAGGCCCATTTGGAGGCCAAAGGGTTTTTGCCACTTAGCTTTCGAGTTTTCGATGGCCAAATTAACTACTTTTATATATATGATACAGTCTAAAGCATAAAGAGAAAGTATATAATATATTGTTAAATCTCAGCCGTCCCTTGTCACTTGATCCCACGACCAATATAGAGATCCATGGGAGGCTCTCCTGGATCACGCCGATCACCTTTCATATTTGGGAGGCTGATTTAGTTAGGATTATATTAGGGCAATTATGCATGATTCTGTAACTTTTTTTTTTTTTACTAAAATATCTTGTATATATCTATAAATAATAGTTTTGTGCAATAAATTTATGCTTTTTCCATCTTAAATTCTCTAAATTTAACATGGTATTAGAGTTAGAGATCAAGCAGCCTTCATTGTCGTTGCTAGAATTTTGAGGGTTCTTCTCGCATATAGAGGGGATGGGGCCTTGGCGTCGCTGATTCTTGGGATATATGAATCGAAAGAGCGAGATATCGAGCGAAGAGGAGCAAGCGGGGGTTCCTTCTTCATCGTAATAAAGATCGAGCAACAGAGGCGTGTGGCCAGGAGCTCCTATGCATACGGTTTGGAGGAATCGGTGTGAGCAGGACTCCTACGACCATGTGAGAAAGGGAGACAAACACCTCCGTTCGTTCGTGTCTAGAATTAATCCAAGCAAGGAAGAGTATGATTGACGTTCGGGTACATACATCTGGGAGCGAAACCAAGCAGCCAAAGAACTCTCCGAACATGATATGGGCTAAACTTGATTGGGCAGCTCCTTCCTGCGTGTATGGGAGCAAACTGACCAAGGGAACAGGATATTTCTTCTCTTGTGTATGTGTTGGATCCAAGTCAAATACAAAAGATTGTTACCATTGTTGTCATCTTCATTCACTGAACATAATTTGTCATGCCTATATTCTCAGTCTTCCCTTATTGTTTCTACTACTCCTAATGCAACCTTCATTGTTGTCCTGCACCTTGCTGCTTTGATCAATATAGCCTTCATTGCTAGTATTTTCCACTGCAATGTCTGAAGCTAATTCCTCCCAAAGATTTGATCAAATGGAGTACTCCATGGTGCACTAAGGAAGAGGAGAACCCCAAAATATGCAAGCTTCGTATCGCTTAAATAGGAAGAATTACTTAAAGCGGATTCAATTTGTGAAGACCACTTGAAAAGGAAAGGAAAGATGAATCATCTCCTTGGGGTAGGACCACAAGAGGTAGATCCTAATATTTGAGCATGGGATGAAGCAGACTCCATGATTATGTCATAGTTGTGGAATTCCATGACTCAAGAAATTAGGATAACTTTCATGTTCTTATCTACTGAAAAAGATATATGGGATGCCGCCAGACAATCCTTCTCAAAAGTTTGGGATGCTACCCAAATCTTTGAAATTAAAGTCAACGTGGGAAGCACAAAACAAGGAAGTAAGACTGTGATGGAATATGCTACTCACCTACAAAGCTTGTGGCAAGAACATGATCATTACAAATACATAAAGATCAAATGTCTATAAGATGCAGCTATCCTGAAAATTTTTATTGAGTAAGATAGAGTGTATGACTATCTTGCAGGATTAAATGTGGAGTTTGATCATGTTAGAGTTCAGATTCTTGGCAAAAAGGAGATACCTTCATTAAATGGGACCATTTCTTTCAATCACGCTGAGAAAAGCCAGTGAGGGGTAATGATGGAACCAAAGATTGTTAAAAGTTCAACAATGGTGACAACCAAAGAGCCATCATGGAAGGAAAGAGGTAAGGATTCCTAATAGCCTAAAGACAAAGATTGCCTTTAGTGCAACTATTGCGAGAAATCAAGACACATAAAGGAGACATGCTGGGAGTTACATGAAAAGCTCACAAGTACTGAGTGAAATCAAAGAAGTAACAAAAGGGGACATCACAAGCTAACACTACAAGTCTGCCCAACCAAGAAACGTAGTCCAATTTCAGAGAGCTCAACAAAAAAGATATTGATAAGCTAAAACAACTCTTGGCATCCCTTGAAAAACCACGAGCATCTTCTATTGCACTTTCAGGTAAATTTCTTATATCCATTGGATTACGTGCCTCTAGAAATCATTTGAAAGATTTATGAATAATTGACTCAGGAGCCACATATCACATGATACACTCCCCTATCCACTTCATCAACTACACCCCTTGCCCGAGTAATAAAAAAATCATCACTGCAGATGGTTCTCTTACTAGTGTAACAAGCCAATGAGATATACCATTATCTCCCTTGCTCTTAAAAATGTGATTCGCGTACCTCAATCATCTATAAACCTAATCTCCATACAAAAATTTATCAATAATCATAATTGTCAATTCCTATTTAACCCTACTTGTTGCTTATTTCACGAACAAGGATTGAGAAAGAAGATTGGACTTGAAAATAAGAGAGTTGGACTATACTACCTAGAAGAGCTGAACAACTCCACTATTATCAATAATGGATATTCTATATTATCTCTATTTAATAAAAATATACCATTTAGCTTCATGATTTTAAATTAGGACATCATATGTCTTAAAAAACATGTATCTAAAACTTTTTAATAAATTGAAAAATGAATCTTAAAATTATAAGAATTATAAAAATATGAGAAATTTATATTAAACTTAAAATTCTAAGAATTTAAAAAAAATGATTAAAAAAAGTGTAATAGATTTTTAAATCTCTAATTGAATTCATGTAAATTTATACAACTCCTAAAACCCTTTAATCAATCTAACAATTTTAAAAATTTCTTCAATTAACTTAAAACCCCTAAAACTCCCTTAACCAACATATAACTTTAATAAACATTAACTAATCAAGTGAAATCCTAAAACATATAAAATACACCTCCGATCAACTCATGATATAATCACAAATAATAATATACATTAATCAAGGTGAAACTAAATTAAAAGTTATTAAAAACCTATCAACCAACTCTTTAATGTTCAATAAAACACTAAGATATTAAAACTTAAATTTGAACTAAAAAAAAATGCATTAGCTTTAAATAAATAAATAAACTTATTAAAGAAGCAAATGAACTTCGAGTCATACCTTAGTGTTCTAACCCATATTGAATTTATGTAAATCTTTGTAAGCATCCCTTTAATATACATGAGGTAAATAGGCTGGACTATCTTGAGCTACGGGTCTAAATGTCCTAAGGATGTCTGGTTCCGCGAGCCCACTGCGACAACGCCACGTACCTCATAAGTTAAGGGGAAAGAATATGAAAATCTACATAAAATAACTCACTTTAAAAATTTAAAGCCACCCATAGGAATCTGAGTCAATTTCCTTGAATACCCAGCTGTTAAACCATAGGTCAGCTAGAACATATGCATATCTATAGGTAGGGAATCTTTTTATTCTCATGTCAGTCCTTTAAAAATTGAATTTACCTAAGATATATGGAGCATAGGATTTTCTTTTTATGGTGGGCAATAGGCTTATCTTAGTGGTGTCACCTATTAGCCATTCTTCGAATCTTAGATTACTACCAAGGGAATGACTAACCGACCCTTGCCACCTTACAATCATTTCGGCCTTGATTAGGGGTTGGATTGAGAATGAGTCATTTGCCCCTCAATTCTTTATAACCTTAGTATAAGTTATGGCCTAAGCCTTTAGGCTCTTAATAATTTAATAATTACGATTTTAATCCTAAAACTAAGTGTTAATTAATTCACTATAAATGACTAAATACTTTAAAAAGGAATTTGAGGGATAATAAATTAAATAATAAGAACTTGATCAGTTGATCTTGAAACTTAAACTTCTCACCTAATTTGGGATAGTTAGGTACACTTTTTGCACACACTTTTGTTGTTATGATTATAAATTGTGCTAATATATATTTTTGTAGGGGTTTAATTTAATTTTCTTCTTTTAAAAATATATTTTGGTTCAAAAGGTTGTGAAAACTTATAAATGAGATATTTTTGAGATATTAGGGATCCAAAGCGAAAATAAAATCTGTTACAGGGAGTTTCCTTTCATTTGGATATTCTATCAGATGACGTACCACGATGAGCTTGAAATAAGAAACTCAATGAAAGGATAACAAGATGAAGACAAAAAAATTGCCTCATTTTTAAGATTTGCGTCATTTCATAGGGATAGAATCCGAGTTGTTGTCGGTGGGGCCCGGCCACCCCTATTTTTTAGCATTTTGAGTTGTATAAAGTGATGCTTGCCACGGATTTTGGACACTTTGATTGATATTTTTGATGTGATGATGTATTTACTTTGTTTGCGCATTAGAACTACATGCTTTTTCTTAGGTTTCTTACTCTATTTTGTTTTAGGGTGGTGCGGACGGAGTTTTTATGTTAGACTCTTTAAGATAAATTTTCTATAAAGCTAAAATTTGTTTAAGCAAGATAAAAATAAATATATGGTTTAAAATCAATCAATTTCTCAAAATTAATGCATGAGACCTTTAAGGGTCACCTTTTAAAATGATAATGAA